GCTGCTGGTAGAGAGCGGTGCAGGAGAAGGGTGCTGAGCTGTGATCGCCAAGGCCAGGTTTGGGCATTCACCCTACTTCACTGTGTGTGACAGCTACATAACCTTTACGAGGTCTTGATCTCTTTATTCCTGAAAGAAGAGTTTATCCAGATGGTTTCTGGGGGCCCCTTAACCTTGATAATGCAAGAACCAGGATAACCACTTTGTGAATTTAGAAGCTGCCGTTTGCTGACGACCCTGTACTATACATCACCCCCATGCTTTGGGCTGCCCCATTCTGAGAACTCAGAAATCCCAGCACTTACCCTCAGCTCCAGGTTGCTTGTATGGGTTGTATTTGGGTTTCGGAGCAACTACCGGTGCAAATTTCTTGGGTGGCTGTTGTGTAGACACTGAAATGCTGGGGGTCCCAAAGGAGTGGGTAGTCTCCATCCGTGCAGGCACGTGGCCGAGGGGCTCACCAGTGCTTTTAGGTGGCAGCCAAGATGGGTGAGACATTGTTGTGATCTGCGATGAAAAAGAAACAAACACCGATTTATAGAAATACGAAAATAGAGGTGACGCACCTCAGTTCCTTGTCATTTCATTCTTATCCACACTCGCTGAATCTTGATAAAATCGTCTGGTATGAAGGATGGAGGAAAATGGAAGAGGAATCATCAGAAGGAAAATGAGGAGGAGGGGGTAGAAGGGGAGAAGGGAAAGAACACTAAAATTTGAATCTATCCTTTCCAACAGTAACCAATTTCAGTGCCTAGCTCTCTTGGGGCGATAGATACACACAAAAAAATGGTTCTAACTTGAAGGAATTAGTATGGAAAGAGGCTGGAAGGAAGTTTCAATTTTATTAATAATCTAGAAATAGAATTACCACTCAAAATAAAGGGCAATACCTAAATTAGATGATAGGTTACCTAAGTGAGGTGCTTTTTATCTTTTTTTTTTTTTTTTTTTTGTAAATATTGCTAGGATGTAGGAAAAGATAAGATTATTTCTTTTTGTGAGCCTGGGAGCAGAAATACCAAGACATCAATGATGAGGTGACATTCAGACTGGACCTTGAATACCAAGTAGAAGTTGGGCCTGAATAATGTTTGCAAAATTACCGGGGCAAAAAGTACACATCACTTATGTTTATGTCTAGGATATGACTCCCACATGGTCGACTGTGGTTCAAGTCCCAGACCTGGTGGCTTGCTTTCTCATTTTCTCTCTCTCTTTCTCTCTGATCAAACTGAAAAACAACAACAATAATAATAAATGAAGTTAAAATAATTCTTAACTTGAAAAAAAGAAAAGAAAAAGTAGCTAGCAAAAGAACGGAAACACGGGATAGAATCAAAGCACAGAGAACATTGCATGCACATCAAAAACTTATGCTGTAGACATTAAGGAAACTCCAAAAGTTGACTTGGGAAACAAGGGCATGGCAGGTGCACAGCAGGACAATAGAAAAAAACCTCTCTGCAGGAGCAGCTCTGCTCTCCACCAAGAGACAGCTGGAAATGAGGAGGGGGACACTGGTGGCCATAAGGCCTGGCTCAAGTACTGGCATTTAGTGGCCACATGATGGAACATTCAATATTTGGAGCTGGACCAAAGTCGCACGTTGAGGGAACTAATTCTACATGGCCAGTTGCCATTCAAATTCTGGCCCCAGTGACCTGAGAAGCATGTTAGGTATATGTGCTCGTGTGTCCCAAATACTAACAGGGTAGAGAGATGGAGAAGGGACTGTGGTATGAGCTTGTCCCATTGGTGGGTTCACACGCACTCTCTCTCTCTCTCTCCCTCTTTCCTTCCTCCCTTCCTTCTTCCCTCCGGCCCTCCCTCTCTCTCTCTCATGAATACAAGTACCCTCTAGCAATTAAAGAATATTTGACATCTGTAAAGCGCATCTCACTGCAAAGAAATGCCTCTCAAGAGCTATGCTGAGGGCTGAGTGGTGTCCTGGGTTGGTGTCTCTGCTGACCCTACCCCATGATCTGGATAAGCTAGAACTGGACATGGATCACACCATGGAGCTCTTGTTGGGGGCATCTGTCTCTATAACACTCCCACCCCCTTCTGTCTCTCTTGTAGAAAAAAAATTAATGAACTGTTCTTAAAAAGCTATGCTGAGCTGACACAATATTGGACCTCTATGAAAAACTTCTTTAACTAGAAGGAGAACCACCAGATGCTGTTGTGATCAGACTGCATACACTATGTGAGGAAAGGAAAATGATGTCTTTTCTGTCAGCTTAAGCAATCGCCCCTCCAGGCAGCCTGCACTGAGGAGGGCTCTCCAAGCCTGATTGCAAGAGCTCTCCAGCATGGGGAGGCCCGGAAGGCAGCCTACACCCACCCCAGCCCCAAATACACCTAGTAATTTATTAATTGAACTGAATTAATTAAGAGGGCTCTGTGATTGCCTCCAGATGTGTGTTAAGACAAAGAGCTTGGGAAATAGAGAAATGCAAAAAGGCCTCAGCATGTGGCATAGCAACCCAGAGACACGATGGAGGAGGACATGGAGTGTCGCCTGTGCACCACTCTCAGTCCACACTACAGTTGAGTGACATGGCCTTAGACAACACCCCTACAGTGCCTCAGACTCCTCCATTCCCTCAAAAATAAGATTAAAAATAAATTTAAATCCTAACTCAAAGACCTTTCATGACGACAAATGCTTTAGATACCATAAAGTGCTCTGTCAAGGGAAGTGCTGCTCGTCTTTAGTTACTTATACCTTTCTAGAATGTCTCTATTCTCAGAAAGTCTTCAGGAACGATACGGTCATACTGCATGGCAGAAAATAGCTGGAGGTATAGTGTTCCCAGCAGAAGAATATAACAAGTATCAGTGAAGAAGACGAAATCGGAAAGTGGGACACAGGCTACTGAGGCCAGTGAGGACATTTCACTTTTCATCCTGGTTACAGGACACATTTCCTTTTCCTCCCCTGCACCTGTTACTTAGAAATATACAAATATGTGTACTAAACTGAGAGTTCTTCAAAAGGGCAAGACCATCTGTATTGTACGCATCCATAAACCGCCATGAAAGCCTCTACTAAAGAAAAACAAAAACAATAAATGCCTGTTCTGTTCATAGTGCTTAAATCTGGCTGCGCATGTGACACCATTTGAGAGGGTTTTCATTTTCTTAATACCAAAGCTAAGCCTATCTCCCAAGGTTGAGAAAAAACAACTCTGAATTTGTTAGAAGGATGGTTTTTAATTGAATCTCAGTCTTCCACTAACTTGAGGCAAAAGGGACTGTTTTGCTCTCCATATGACTAACATGAATAGTAGGGAATAAGTGGGAAATAAAAGTTTAAGAGCGTAACAAACTATGCATTTTGTCGGGTAGATTTTAACTGAACATTTTAAAAATGGGTTCATTCTACAAGTTTCCTCTAAATCTAAAGTCATCCCAAATAAGAACTTTAAAAATAGGTTAATGTAGGAGTAAGCCGTTTCCAATACAAAGATGCACATTTCCAGAGCGCACGCCCATGGGTACTGAGTGACTAACATCTTGGCCTTTTCGGACATGCCATAGATATAAAGGAATAGCCAACCTTTGGGGGAGCTCTAAAAAATGGAGACTTAAGCATAAATACACAAATCATTTTATCAGTAGTCCTTCCTGTTATCCCCAGCTCCATAATTACCCTGAGACTGCCCTCCCCATGGAGGTATCTCTAGCTCCTCCTCAGAAGAGGGCCACATTCTGGCCAATTACCTGTCTGCAAATGACCCTGTCAGCATCTTACCTTTCCTCTGCATGTCAACAATGACCCAGTGACACTATTCTCAGAATTCCTGAGGGAGTTCCATGATTCTGAAATATTCTCATGCTATAGCCAGCAATGACAATGCCATCTCCTTCCCTTCCTTTTCTACCAAGCCCTGTATCTTTATATTGCCCCAGCTGAAAAGCCTCACACTCTGTGGAAGTTTCCCTAACTTTGCTTAAGAAAAGTAGCTTAGGGACCAGCAGATGGCATAATGGTTATGTTGTTGGACTCCCATGTAGTTAACCATGGTTTGAATTCTGGACCCAGTGGCTTAAAACTCACACCAGGCATGTGTGCGTGCGTGGCCAAGATCCCAAGAGGAGAATTGGGGAGAAAGGGTTGTGGCATGGTCATCTACCCTGGAGGGTGATTTCTCACTTTCTGTCTCTCTCTCTGTCTCTGTTTCTCTGGCAAGTACACATGCCATATAGCAAAAATCTCTCTGAAAAACAAAAGGAAAGAAAAGAAAGGAAAGGAAAAGAAAAAGAAAAAGGAGGAGAGTAGCTTAATTCTTTTTATGGGCACATCTAGTACTATTTCATACTTAGTCCATAAAGCTATTTATATCTGCCTATCTACACCAATATCCTAGAAACTCTGCATAGTCTTGTTGTAAAAATATGAGGCTTGGTCAAGACACTATAAGAAAATGCCTTATGCAGGAATGGATGACTAAATGGACACTGTTCTTCCTTAGTTACTTAAACCTTTCTAGACTCTCTGTATCCCCCCTTCTAAGCTGCTACTGATACAATAATATTTTTCCATCCCTTTACTTTGTGATATAAGGAATCATGCTGATAGATGCCATTGAACCATCTTTGCATTCCTAAAATAAATTCTACACAGTCACAGTTACAGCATTTTGATATGCTGATGAATTAACTATGCTATTTTATTTAGAATTTTTGGACATATAACCATAAGTAAGATCATTCTGAAGTGTTTATTTTTTGCCTGCTTATTTACCATTATTAGGTTTTGATATGGGGATTTTGCATCTTTTTTACACTGTTCCAATTAGATTAACAATGACATTGAAAAAATGTGATCTTTAATAGTGTATGAAAATTTGGTGTAAAGTTATTCAGATATAATACCTACCTTAGAAGACATAATAATCACATTTCCAATAGCTTCTATAATAGTACCAATTTTCTACTTTTTCTGAGATCATTTTGCAGTGTTTATGATCTTCTGAAAATTCATCCATTTCCTCTAAATTTGATCTTTTCGCCCTCTCAACCAAGTTACCTCTTAAATAAAAATGATTTCTACTTCACTATGTATCATTTAGATCTTCGATATTATTTTCTACTAGCCATAACAACATAAGTCATGCACCGTATCCTGCAGTTCAAGTTATTACTCTTTGGCTACACTTCCACCTGGCATACTGCTGTCACACACTCGCCACATGCTACTCTGCTTGTCTGCCTGCATCCAAGACTAAACTCTGAATCTCAAGAGCTGAAACCTCAGGCCCTAGTAAATGATAATCACTCAGCAATAGTGTTTGTTATTTTAATGAATGCATGAATGTATCTGCCTGGCACTGGAGTTCCAGAGGTATTGGATTTTCTCCTCTTTTGAAGGAGTGTATAAAGTCTTTTCGGGGAAAACATATTTATATGTGAAAAAGGAGAAAGTAAGCAACAGAGACCCAGCCTAGGAGGTACAGACCACAGCACACTGGAAGTGTGACTTCCACGGTGCTGGAAGT